ATGAGCTAAGGACAGAATTCTCTTACCTGGATGAGAGGCTTTGAGGAAGTAGTAGTGGGGGGTGGGGAGAGATTGAAGAGATACTTAGACAGCAGAATTAACAGGTTTTAGTGATTGTTGGACACCAACCTGGAGCAACTGTGTAGAATTGATGGGCCATTCATTAAGACAAATGGAGCATTAGATCTTCAAGGACAAGAAAAGATGATGAGATAATCCATGGGACATGCAGGAGCAAGTGACCACTAGGCAGTTAGATATTTATGTATGATTTGCCAGGCAGAGCTCTGCACTGAAGACCTAAGAATAAACCTAGGAAATAACAACGTTTAATCCTGACTGAGAATGAAGAATCCTCAAAGGAGACTGAAGAGAGGCCAGAGAAATAGGAAGATGACAAGAACCATTCAATATTCATTCAAATATTTAATACAGAAAGTTTGGTTTGGGGACATGTGAAGGCCTGAATTTCAAGTAAAGGCATCCTAATTACATACTGTCAGCAAAAGAGTAGGAGAGAGAACAATGACAGCAAAAGTTCTATTTACTTAAGGCAGGAACAGGTTATGATCAGGCTTGTTTTTTAGGCACAGAACTCTATCACACTGGTAGAAAGGAGATGGGACAGGAGTGTGTCTAGAAGTGGGAGAACTGTTTGAAACTGTGTGGCTGTGATAAGGTCCTAATCTAAAGCAGAGGTAATGGGTAGATAAAAGACACCCATTCCAAGAGATAGAAGATGGAACTTGAGTCCCTGTGGGAATGGTAAAGCAGGGAGGAATCAAGGATAAACTAAGGATTCTAGTCCAGCAGGCTGGGGACTGGCAAATTAGGGTTAGAGAGGACAGAACACTAAGTTTTGGGGATGATGTTTTTGGTATGAGAAATTGGAGGCACCAGTGTGGCATTTTATAGATAGTGAGAAAGACAGTTCTATTGCTCTTCTGACAAGCTGGGGCTCAAGTTATGATTTCAAAGTCATCAGCAGTATGTATGTATGGTAACTAAAGTAAAAGACAGTCACCCAGGCAAATATATATTTAGTGAGAATAAATGAGTAACAGTGGTGATTGTCAGGGGAGTCAGAATGTAGTACTCAGAATCAGAGATAATAGTGCAAATACTGCCTGACCTACACCAAGAGCAGTGAGACCTACATCAGCATACTGTTGGTGTACTCAGTAATGAATTTTTGGTATTTTGGGGCAATTACATCAGGCTGACATCTTATAATGTGCTAGAAATTAACTAAAATCTGTTGATAAAAAAAGAAGAAATCTGTGGATGATTTTCAATTTAACTATTATTAATTTTGGTCCCTTCTGGGCTATCTTTGTACAAATCATTTTATAAACCTAAGTACAACACCTCCCAATTATACAGATTGTATCAGATATAATGCTTTTGGTGCAAGAAACAGAATACTCCACTAAAAGTAGTTCATGCTCTGAGGACCTTAATTTCCTTCACGTAACTCCAATTCCAGAGATTTGTGAGTTCCGGGTTGGTTCAGCACATCAGCAATGATGAGGACCTAGCCTTTCTCCTCTGTTAGCTGCTAACTTCAGTGTGTCAGTGATACATTCATCAAGGGCAAGGATGGTGGCAGCAGCTCCAAGCATCATACCTTCAGATGATAACATCTGAAAGCAGGATGGAAGAGGTGGGCATCTTGTTCAAAGGCCTGCTACCTTTGTCACTTTGTAATTAAGAATTTAAAAATTAACTACATTAAGTTAAATGGATAAATCTTAAGTGTACAGTTGCATGAGTTTCGACAAATGCATACACCCAAATAACCTACATCCCTATTGAGATGAAGAACATTTTCATTACCCCCAGAGAGTTCCCTTGGGCATTTTCCTAGTCAATCACAAGCATCAGAGTCAACTATACCCAGAGGCAAGCCACAGCTCTGATCTCTTAAACCATTCTTTTTAATCAGGGATGACAATCTTTCCCAGAAGCCCTCTGCTCCCAGCACACTTTGCCTTACATCTCCTCTGTCAGAACTGTCTCAATCTTCCTTTAAGTCAGTTACTACCTAAAAAGGATGGTAGTCTAGACCACTGTGACTCATCCATCCCTTGCAGCTGTGGGAGGGACCCCTCTGACCTCAGCACTTTGCTGCAAGCCCAAATAAAATGTTGTTTGTATGAAGCAAGAAATAAGAGAGAAATTGCTGTACACACACATCCCCCATCCTATTCGTCTACGTATCCAGCCATCCAATATCTGAACCATTCTTCTAACTTTATTTCACTTGCAAATGTACTAAGTATATACTCATTTAAGTCAATGATTAAAATACTGAAAATTACACAAACAAATGTAGAGACCTGCCCCGAAGTTAACACCAATCTACATTCAAAGTCCTTCATCCTGGTCCAAATGCAACCAAACTTACATTGTCTGAGCCCCAAATCTCCATACAGTCCACAAGGATATGTGAGGAGCTTCATTCAATCCTTTATGACTCTGTTCCCCTCTGGGGCGCATAGAGGTGTGCCAGTGGATACATTTAGTACTTATAGTATGTTAAGGATTTCATTGTGAGCGTCCCATTTCCTTTTTAACCCAGCTTCCTTTTGGTTTGTATCTAATATTTCTATGATTTTAGGAATTAAAAAAATCTACTTTCTAAACAACATCCAAGTTTCCATACCTAATTGTGGCTAGCATGTTCTTTATTTTTATAGACCCTAAAATGGCTCTGGCATATTCCATTAAAACAATTTTCATAACCTCCATTTCATCCTTACTGACTGTAACTAGGTCCAGAACATCGTACTCCCTTGTAGCATAATCTACCATATCAGCAAGGTCAGTAAAGAATGGACCAACTGTTTTTGCTTTAGCAGAATGATGTTTCCACAGTATAGAAATGTAGTTTCCAACCATGACCTTTATCTGCCTCTACGCCAGATCTGAAACTTGCATTAGGAGGGTAGCAGTCATATTCTTCATCTACCTAAGATATCTGTATTTGACGCCCATATACTATCAGTTTGTGTGTCTTATCTTGTACTCTCATGCTAAGTTCTCCACCAGACTTAAACCTAGTAGCTCAATGATTTCCAAGCAGGGACTCCTTCCACATAATTCAACAGGTGTTATTTTACTTGCACAGCATAAACCTCCTCTTGGTGCAATCCAGTTAATACCTGCATCTCAGCAAGTTTGTCTTGCCTAGATCATATTTTTCTATTTTCATTATTATTTTTTGACTTATTATCTTATCAACTCTAGTTAAAAAGTACAAGTGTAAAAAAGTGTTGATCAGAGATACAGCTGAAACAGTCAATTACTTTTTAATATTTTAAAAAGAAACCTTTGCAAAGTACTATAGGAACCAGAGGTACAAATTTAAGATAGATTTTTTTCTATTAAAAAAAATTATTTAGGGGCGCCTGGGTGGCTCAGTTGGTTAAGCAACTGCCTTCGGCTCAGGTCATGATCCTGGAGTCCCGGGATCGAGTCCCGCATCGGGCTCCCTGCTCGGTGGGGAGCCTGCTTCTCCCTCTGACCCTCCCCCCCTCATGCTCTCTCTCTCTCATTCTCTCTCTCTCAAATAAATAAATAAAATCTTAAAAAAAATAAAAATAAAAAAATTATTTAATTTTTTGGTAGCAAAACTGGTATATTTATTTCCCATATTTTCTCTTGTGAATCACTGATGCATTTTCTCAGCTATTGTATTGCCTCCAATTTAGGTTATACTTTTATCTCATTTTATCATTTTTTTTTTTTAAAGATTTTATTTATTTGACAGAGAGGGACAGCGAGAGCAGGAACACGAGCAGGGGGAGTGGGAGAGGGAGAAGCAGGCCTCCCACCGAGCAGGGAGCCCGATGTGGGACTCGATCCCGGGACCCCAGGATCATGACCTTAGCTGAAGGCAGACGCTTAACGACTAAGCCACCCAGGCGCCCTCATTTTATCATTTTATCTGTGCATTATTCTTCCCTTCCCTCAAATTTTAGTTTAGAGTTCTTTTTATCAGTTTGGCAAGATTCCAGATAAATTCAGATGTACTATATTCCTTATAGGGAGTCTGTTGTATTAACAGCATAAGCCCTGGTTAAGAAAACCTAGTTTTTTGGTCTTCTTTTGCTTTTTTAGGAGGGTGCTACTTGATACTCTTTACCTTCTATTTCTTCTTCAAAGTCATGGTCTCAACTGGAAGAAGAAATGAAAATACCCCTTCAATGACCAAAACAAGTGCTTGGGTTTTATCATTCATTGCCATATGAATCAACAGGTATAATGCAGTCTGTAAATGTGATAAGTTTCAGGAAACCTCCTAAGGGAACCTCCCATATCCATTCCATCATGGTTTGCCTCAATATAAATGAGAAAGAAATAAGATGCCTTCCCTGGAGGATTTGATTTGGTTTATCCTCAGACTCTCTCTGGAGATCTACATGTATTTCCCTAATGTGTAAAGGATAGGTTATAAATTATCAGCCAATATATAAAAAGGTAGATAGTATTGTCAAGGATTCCTTTACAGCTTATAAAAATACTCTGTTTTACTGATGATAGTTGCCAGGGACTACATATGTAGGACTTAAAACCTGAGGTTGAACTTGAAAGTGTGCCAGGAACAAGAGAGACAAAAAGACACAGTAATATTATCTTTAGGAATTTGCAATCTACTCAGTAAGCTAGCACTCCTGAACACAGCCATAAGCACATATCCTTGCTGTAACACCAGGCTTCTGTAAAAATCAATCAGAGCTGTGGGTTCACATAAGTGATTTTGAGATGATTTTACAGCAGCAAGGAAACATCAATTCACAATTATCCTCCAATTTTAGAAGAATATAGACCAATTAAATACTTGATATAGAAAACATGTTTCATAAACAGAATTCAACAAGCACAGGAATAAATCTAAATTATATCCATGACATTTTTATGACAAAGAATGATTTAAATAAAATATCTTGCATTCAAAATATAAGTAATACTGAAGATTATATGCCAAAGTTACTTACTTTTACTATGATAAGCCTAGCCAGGTTTTCACATCTCTGGTTATCATTTTCTGTATACTCTACTTCAAATAGAGTATTATAATTTTCTAGTAATTTAGCCATTATCTTGTTGCAGATGTCTTGTTCTTTCATGCCTTCAAGCCCCGGTGGCACACTAGAAATAAGGGGGAAAAAATGAGAGGAATTACTTTGTAAAAACAAAATACGCCAGCAGAGCTGACTCAGGCATATATTTTGACATCTCCTATATGATTGATCAGCATTCTTATAAGGACACATGCAATTTTCAAGTTCTATGGTGACATGTATGATATTGCTGGGACAATATTGCATTAATAGCTTGTGCTGAATAAGAAAAGTACATGTTGTTCAGGAAGAAGGTATAGGTTAACATGGGTGCCATAATGCTTTGTATATATTAGAAATTGCTACACATAGGGGAGCCTGGGTGGCTCAGTCGTTAAGGATCTGCCTTCGGCACAGGTCATGATCCAGGGGCCCCGGGATCGAGCCCCACATCAGGCTCCCTGCTCGGTGGGAAGCCTTCTTCTTCCTCTCCCACTCCCCCTGCTTGTGTTCCCTCTCTTGCTGTGTCCTTGTCAAATAAATAAATAAAATCTTAAAAAAAAAAAAGAAATTGCTACACATAAAGTAACATTTATGTAAGAGCAAAAGTGATTAAAAACAACTGTTTTTAATCAAAAAGAATGTTTTATCATGACAGAAACAGCCACAGAAATAATAGCAACACAATCTTATTGAAGGACTTCTTAGATAATACACAAAAGGTACAAAACTCAAAGAAAAATATGAACACTTCCAGAAAAAAAATACTAATTAATGTTGAAGCTGAGTGATAGATACATGGAAGATTTATTATACTATATACTATTCTCTCTTCTTTTGGATATGTTTAAAATTTTTCATAGCAAAAAAAAAAAAAATGTGAAAAAGATCTGAATGCACAAGATACCATAAATAAGGTAGAAACACAAGCTACAGATTAGACATGAGTATCTCTTCAGTAACATGGACATTAGCGGTTAGACTATGCAAAGAATTCTTACTAATCAATAAAGAAGTACATTAAAAAAAAAGACAAAGGAGAGGAGTTGAAAAACTCTTAGAAGAAAACAGTTGGACATCAATAATCTTATGATGCAAAGATACTTAACCTCACTGAATAACCAGTGAAAATGCATTAAAAAAGCAACACTGAGGTTACTACCCATCTATATTAGTTTCCTGTGGCTGCTGTAGCAAATTATCACATACTGTTGCTTAAAACAACAGAAATGTAGTCTTCCATGGTTCTGGAGGCCAGCAGAGTGCAATCAGTATCACTGGCAGGACCACACTAGCTGGTAGCAATTCCTTGGCTGTGACTATATCACTTCAATTTTCAATCAAGGCCAGCATCTTAAAATTCTCTCTGCTCCATCTTCACATGGCCTTCCCTGTGCGTTGAGTCCAGAAATAAACCCACATTTTTATGGTCAATTAATCTATGGTAAAGGAGCCAGGAATATAAAATGGGGAAAGGACAGTCTCTTCAATAAATGATGTTGGGAAAACTGAACAGCTATATGCTAAAGAATGAAGCCAGACCATGACCTCACACCATACACAAAATCAACTTAAAATGGATTAAAGCTTTGAATGTAAGACCTGAAACCATAAAACTCCTATAATGTAAATATTATGTAAGCTGAAAAAATGGGCTGCCTTTCATTAAAAGCGATGGATGACTCAGAGAGCAGAATCAAAAAAACAAGGGGGTGAAGTTGAAAACCATGGAGAAATATTTCCAGGGCTTGAAACCCAGTCAAGAGAGTCCCAACATTTGCCAGACTGGATATCAGAACTGCCACTGAGTCAACCAGGAAATAAAAGAAATAAAAAAGTACCTAAAAACAAGTGAAAATAAAAACACAATTGTTCAAAACCTTTAGCATGCAACAAAAATGGGGTTCTAAGAGGGCAGTTTATAGTAATACAGGCTTACTCAACAAGTAAGAAAAATCTCAAATAAACAACCTAACCTTACACCTAAAGGTGCAAGAAAAAGAACAAACAAAACCTAAAACCAGGAGAAGGAAGTAAATAATAAAGATTAGAACAGAAATAAATTATATAAAAACTAAAAAACAAAACAAAACAAAACCAATAGAACAGATCAATGAAACAAGGAGCTGGTTCTTTCAAAAGATCAACAAAATTGATAAAACTCTAGTCAGACCCATTCAAAAAAGAGAGAGACAGGAGAGAGAGAGAGGACTCACAAAATCACAAATGAAAGAGGAGAATAACAACTGACACCTCAGAAATACAAATGATTGCTAGAGAATATTGTGAAATATTGCCAACAAATTGGGCAACCTAGAAAAATGGATAAATGGATAAATTCCTAGAAACCTACAACCTACCAAAAGTGAAGCAGGAAGAAATAAAAATTTAAACTGATTACTGGAAATGAATTGATTCAGTAATCAAAAAACTCCCAACAAAGAAAAGTCCAGGGCAAACAGCTTCACAGGCAAATTCTACCAAACATTTAAGAAGAGTTAATACCTATCTTCTCAAACTATTCCAAAAATGAGAAAGGATAAGAACCATATGATCATTTCAATAGATGCAAAAAAGCATTTGACAAGGTAAAACATCCATTCATGATAAAAACCCTTAACAAAGTAGGTTTAGAGGGAACATAATGCAACATAATAAAGGCCATATATGAAAAACCCACAGCACTTTTGAGTGGGGTGCCTGGCTGGCTCAGTCAGTGAAGTGTGCGACTCTTGATCTTAGGGTCATGGGTTAAAGCCCCAAGTTGGGGGTGAAGATTACATTTAAAAAAAGAGAGAGACTTATGAAAAGCCCACAGCAAACATCATCCTCAATGGGAAAAAATTGAGAGTCTTTCCCCTAAGGTCAGGAACAAGACAAGGAAGACCACTTTCACCACTTTTATTCAACACAGTACTGGAAGTCCTAGCCACAGCAATTAGACAACAAAGAGAAATTAAAGGCATGTAAATTGGTAAGGAAGAAGTAAAACTTTCTGTATTTGCAGATGACATGATACTGTATAAAGAAAACCCAAAAGACTCCACCAAAAAACTGCTAGAACTGATATATGAATTTAGTAAGTCACAGGATACATCAATACACAGAGATCGGTTGCATTTCTATACACCAATAATGAAGCAGCAGAAAGGGAAACTAAGAAAACAATACCATTTACAGTTGCACCCCAAATAATAAGATACTTAGGAATAAACCTAACCAAAGAGATGAATGACCTGTACTCTGAAAATTATAAACACTGATGAAAGAGATTGAAGATGACACAAAGAAAAGGAAAGATATTCCATGCTCATGGACTGGCAGAATATTGTTAAAATGTCTACAATACCCAAAGCAATCTACACATTTAAAGCAATACCTATCAAAATATCAACAGCATTTTTCACAGAACTAGAACAAACAATCCTAAAATTTGTATGGAACCACAAATGACCCCAAATAGCCAAAGCAACCTTGAAAAAGAAAAGCAAAGCAATTCCAGACTTCAAGTTATATTACAAAGTTGTAGTATGGTACTGGCACAAAAAGTAGACACACAGATCAACAGACCGGAATAGAAAACCCAGAAATGAATCCACAGTTATATGGTCAATTAATCTTCAACAAAGCAGTAAAAAATATCCAATGGGAAAAAGTCTCTTCAAAAAATGGTGTTGGGAAAAATGAACAGCAACATGAAAAAGAATGAACTTGGACCACTTTCTTACAGCATACACAAAAACTCAAAATGGATTAAAGACCTAAATGTCCAACAAGGATAAAGGGATAAAGAAGATGTGGGATACACACACACAGGAGTATTACTTAGCCATAAAAAGGGAGGAAATCCTGTCTTTTGCAACAACATGGATGACCTTGAAGGCGCTATGCCAAATGAAATAAGTCAGAGAAAGACAAATACCATAAAATCTCATGTATATGTGGAAACTAAAACAAACAAACAAAAAAACCAAAACAAAAAAACCTGAACTCATAGATACAGAGAACTGATGGTTGCCAGAGGCGAGGGTCAGTGAGAGATGAGCAAAGTGGGTGAAGGTGGTCTAAAGGTACAAACTTCCAGTTATAGAATAAATGTCCTGTGGATGTGATGTACAGCTTAATGACTATAGTTAATAATAATAATGTACTGTATATTTGAAAATTGCTAATAGAACATCTTAAAAGTTCTCATCACAAGAAAAAACATTTGTAAGTATATGTAGTGATGGATGGTAACTTAGACTTATTATGGTCATCATTTTATACTATACACATATACTGAATGATTATGTTGCACACCTAAAACTAATATGATGTCAATTATATCTAAATAAAAAAAGACAGAAATATGTGAAAAATGTAAAAAAAAAACATTACTTTGTTTTGGGGCACAAAATAAATAGATATAATTTTGTGACATCAATAACTGAAAGAGGTGGGGATGGAGCTATAAAGAGCAGAATTTTTGTTTTGTTTTGTTTTTTAAGTAATCTCTATGCCCAACATGTGGCTGAAACTCACGACCCTGAGATCAAGAGTTGCATGCTCTACTGACTGAGCTAGTCAGGCACCCTGGAGCAGAGTTTTTGCATGTTATTGAAGTATAGCTGGTACTTATTCAAATTATTTGTGTTATATAAGTTTAGGATGTTAGATGTAATCCCCATGGTAACCACAAAGAAAATACCTATAGAATGTACACAAAAGAGAATGAGAAAGGAATTTAAGCATTACACTGCAAAAAAATTTTAACTAAACACAAAAGAAAACAGTAATGCAGGAAATGAAAGACAAAAGAGCCGTAAGATCAGAGAAAATCTATAGTACAATGACACAAGTCCCTCCTTATCAGTAATTAATTTAAATGTAAATGGATTAAACTCTCCAAAAGAGAGAGACTGGCAGAATGAATAAAAACACATGGTCTAACTATATTCTGTCTACAACAGACTCACTTGAGATCCAAAGCCACAAACAGGTTAAAAGTAAAAGGATGGGAAAAGATAATCCATGCATATAGTAAGTGAAAGAGAAGAGAGGTGGCTATAGTAATATTATACATAATAAACTTAAAATAAAAAAAAA